GCGCGGGAGGTCGAGGTGGAACCGGGAGGATGGGGGGTGAGGGCTCGTGAGGGTCCGGAATGTGGAGTGTCCCGAGGATCAGGGATGGGGGTGGTGAGGGCCCAAGGCGGGCGCGGGAGGGTCGGGGATGGGCATGGCTCGTGGAGGGGGTGGTGAGGGCCCACGGTGGCCGCGGGGCGGTCGGCGGTGGGGGTCTGAAGGGTCAGGGTGCGCGCGGCAGGGCCGACTGCGGGGCCGTGGGGCCCTGTGTCAGGGCTCGGAGGACCAGGGTGGGGGCGTGAGGGGCGGACACGGGGACCGTGAGGTCACGCTCGCGGATGAAAGCCAAAGGTCAGCGTCCAGCGATGGGGGTCCATGAGGGTCGGGGTCGGAGACGAGGTTCGTGAATGGCCGGGTGCTTGTGGGAAGGCCGGGTGCGGGCTTCGTGAGGTTGGGAGCCAGCGACGTGGAGTTGTGGCCACCTGCCGGGCTGAGCTCTTGGTCGAGGGATTCTCTAGGACCCACGTCCACGTGTGGCTTGGTTCTCAGCGGTGATCTGGCTGAATTGAAGCGGACCCCAAACCCTGCCGGCCTCGCGCTTTTCTCTGCCTTTTCTGTCTCAGGCCAGTCATTAAGTGGCTTTACTGGATTCCTGATATTTCATGTTTAAGTTAGACAACTCTTATGGACCTGGGTTTGGGTTTCAAAACGTGAAATCTAGCTTGGCCTTCCTTGGGAGCAGCAGGTTGATAGAATTGCTGTCCTTTTTGCTGCTTACCATGCTTATTAGGTTGTTTTTTTATCTGAGAAATGAGGTAGGTTAACACAAGCTCCCAGATATCAGCACATGTATGAAAACATATCTGATTACCAAACAGATGATTTTCTTTTCTGAAAGTCTCTTATAGTAGGTTTCTGGGGGGAAAAAACGTAGAAGCCATCAATTAATTTCCTTATTTGAAATTAGACACATAGGAATTTATGGGGATTAAAGTATTTATTTATTTATTATGTGGCGCTGAGGATTGAACCCAGTGCCTCAGGCCTCAACCACTGAGCTACAAACCCCAGCCCCAAAGTACTACTGTTTTTGTTAATGATTGTAAAAAATGTATTTTACCTTTGATGTGGGTAGTAAATATTACAAATAAGTGAAATAAGTGAGAAGTACTTAGGGGAGATCTCAAAAATCCCTGTGGCTCTTTAAGAGGAAGAAAGACATTGTTTGAATAGATCTTCCCATTCTTGTATCTGCCTTGTCTTTCATGGTTAAATTTCCTTATTAGGTTGTGATAACATGCTTTGTTAGTGGCAGTTTTTACTTTACTTTGACCTTTGCTGTAACATTTTATTGTCCTCTTCAGACTACTGTTTTGTGTGTGTTACCATATTTTAAAACCTGCTTGCTTATTGAGATCATAACTTCAATATGAGACTTAAAGGAAGTTGAATGTTAAACCCTCATTTTAGTTTCCCAAAGGTTCCTGTTGATATGTGATGTGGTGCCTGTTTTTTATTTTTATTTTTTAAAATATTTTTTTAGTTGTTGATGGACCTTCATTTAATTTATTTGTATGTGGTGCTGAGAATTGAACCCAGTGCGTCACACATGCTAGGCAAGCGCATTACCATTGAGCCACAACCCCAGCCCTGGTACCTGGGTTTTTGGTTGTTTTTTTTTTTTTTAGTTTTCGGACACAACATCTTTGTTTGTATGTGGTGCTGAGGATCAAACCCAGGCCGCTCGCATGCCAGGTGAGCGCGCTACTGCTTGAGCCACATCCCCAGCCCTGGTACCTGTTTTTAATGTTACAAATGTATATAAAGGGGCTGTAGAAGAATTTGTTAACTGACATGTCCCAATCACCTACAGCAATGTTTGGCATAGAATAGGCCTTTGATAGGTATTTGTTATTGATCAAATAAGTTTGAGGTTGATAGCAATAGCTTTCTTTTTAAATGAAAAAGTCAATCGACTTATTTTGTCTCTTCCAGTCAATTTAAAGTTCAGCAGAGGCAATACTAACATTCTTTCAAATTCAATACATTACGCTTAAAACTCCTAATTACCTGAGATAATAAAAGCAAAAACAGTAAAAAGCACATGAAAAATTGCGTAATTGCGATGATGTTTTGGAAGTTCTCAAAGAAGGAACTCTGTCTAGCTCCAACTTGGGCTTCCCATTCTTGAGGAGATGGGCATGTTCTAAGAGGTCCTGTCTCCCATACAGAGCAGTACTTAGGAGAGCAGGGCTCTATGATCTTGACATGTGTTCTAGGATTTACACTTTCCATTTCTACCAAATTTTGAAGGGTGAGAGACTGAAAACATATACAAAATAAAATATATTTTTTTTGTTCTAATTAATATCAGGGTCCTTTTCAGGAGTTATTTTAGTCTGAATTGTCTTTGGACTATTTTTTTGTATGTATATTTTCTAGTTTATTGCCAGTTTAAACTTGCCTAATAATTTCTTGAAAAGAGAATTTCACTGAAAGTGATTGTTGCTAGATCAGTTTCTTTAATGCATAAACATGTTAATTAGCTGAAAAATATCAGATGTCCTCCAATGGGTTGTTCTGATTATGAAAGGAGTTTTATAATTTAAAGGAATATTGTGCAGTTTGCATTTATTGTTAAACTTTGAGAAGTAGTGTACATTTTAAGATGAAAAAAATTTGTATTTGTATTTTTTTATTTTAAAATTGGGCAATTCTGTGCCAGAAAGCAATGCATACAACTTAGTTGACCTCATTATTTTCTTATAACTTTTTATTTGCTACTTAGCTTGTCTTTTTTGAAACTTTTTTGTGTAGGACAGAAAAACTGGACACAGCATTGCCAGTTTCCTTCCATTTGTATTTTAAAAAAACAACCAAAATGATGATGATGAGTTAGAGTTTATGAAGTGACTAAGGCTAGTCAAGCAAATCATAGATCATTTCTTCACATCAAGAGAAATCTGGAGTAGAATCTGTTTTCCAAGGTTTTGCTGTGTTACTTCCCAAACTCTTACTCAGTGTTTCAGCCATGAGGCTGTGTGTGCTTCAGATGATCACAGAGCATTGGCTGTTACAGTTTTCTGGTGATACAGTGTTCTGTAGTTAAGCATCTGTAATCTACTGAGGCAGGTGAGCTGTAACTGTCAGAAGCAGAGGCTGCCTTCCCAGGAAAGCTGAATTTGGTTAAAACATTGTATGTGTAGCATGTTTGACTGCTTTTCATTCCAAGACCCAAAGTTAAGAACATATGATTCCATTTGACTATTTGGTGGATTATTATCTTATGCCCAAACCAGTGTAATCTCAAGGATATTATCAGCAAAGTATTATGTAATATAATATAGCTGTTATATTATATTATATATTATTTTGGATGTTGAAGAAAAATGTCTGTTTTTCTCACTAGTTATATTCACACATTCAGAGATAGTGTAATACCGTTTTTTAGTTATTGATTTTGAAAAGTTGACAGGAAAGATGGATGTTAGCATTGTTATAAATGCAGTATTTCAGTTTATTGACTTTTCAAGCTACTCAAGTTCAAATTGTAGTTACGAAGTGAAAGCTGAACTTGACTTGTACTGACACCCCCACCCCTCCAGTTTTCCTGGCACTGTTCTCTGCCCAGCTGGGTTAGGCCATCCTGAAAGGCAAGAGGTGATTGGTTGCCTCAGCAAGGGGACTCTCGGCAGATAATTTAATGTTGCCCAAGCTTTTCTGCTTAAGAACTGATTATGGATTCCCATACAATGTTACCACGATTGCTTTGGAAAAGAAAATACTTCAGGTAAAACTTAGGGTTGTCAAGAAGAAATATAGGGAATCTGTCTAATGCAAGTGGGCCTTTTCTGGAATTGGCATGTTTGACCTGGTAGGATGTTAACTCTCTCTCATTGACCTCTCCACCTACTTGGCACACTACCTAATACTCAAGTTACCTGTTGCTTTAGGATTTTTTTAAACTATATTTTTAGTTCTAGATGGACACAATATCTTTATTTATTTTTATGTGGTACTGAATCCAGTGCCTCACCCATGCGAGGCAGGTGCTCTACTGCTGAGCTACAGCCCAGCCCTGGGATTTTTTTTTTTTTAAATCAATTTAACTGTTCTTGTAAAACAGTGCAAGTAATTCAAAGTTACAGATGGTTTAGAATAAATTTGTTCTTTTCTCACCCTTATTCTTGGGAAATTTTACTTAGTTTTTTGATCTTAGATTATTAGTATGAAATGTAGACCAG